AGAGTCATATTTTAGTCAATAAAATGAAAAGTCACACCGAGGTAGCTGTTTTTATCCAATGATGACCAACTGTCACAAGTAATTGCAATGAAACGACATCCTTTCAATTCTAGCATTAAAATTGATTTAAGATCAATTGATAAATGGGATTGAGTTGAACTGGTCGAACTGTTGTAAGGTAAAATCTTATAACATATGCTGCATTTTGTTTGATTCTTTTGGTCCGTTTCGAAATATGACCAAACGAAGCTTCGTTTTCTTATTCCTTTCTTAATAACGGATTTATTTGTTTTTGACATTGTTTATTCAAACTAAAAAGCGAGTAGTTTTTTTTCACTCGTTTGTATGTAACAAATATTAACAAATTAGAACTTATGTTAAAATAAATTTGTACCACATGTTATTTCACTTACGTACCAAGATATTAATGAAATTGTTATAACTTTAATATAAAGTTACATTTTTTTTAAGTTATGTAACACAAAAATCGCAAAGGCGATTTGAAACCGTTGCAAATCTTTAAATAACCACTAGAGAGTAATTAGCCGTTTACATTGCAACAATCATTTCATGTCATGCGTTTAAGGTCTCAAGGGAAATGCCGTTGAGGAATAATAATGACTTACGTGCGTGCTGTGAACTATGCATTCTAAGAAGAGAGTGTCAAAATTCTATATTTCTTGTATAACCAGTCTATCTTCATTAGGTTTTAGAGAAAAGTTCGAAAAACAATTTAGTTTTTGCTAATTTTTTGAGGCTGACCTTCTACTTTATTTTTAAAAATTTACAGATATTAAAAATAAAATTCTTTACAGACTCTTTATGTCTAAAGTTACGCAACTTTTCTTTCAAATTGACGCTATTCAAATTTAGTTTGGATGAATTTGATTTTTAATCGTTGTGTTTTTGAAATAAAAAAAGTATTTTCAAAAGAAATTTTTATGTAATCAAAACGACATGCAAAAAAACTTTTTTTAATGCTATTCAAGCTATCAAAAAGACTATTCAAGGTTTTTGTGAGGGTAAATATAATCGCTAAGAATAATTTTATAAAAGTAAAAAGTCATGAAGCATAATCTGATCAGGCGAGAGAGGTGAAGAAGAAAGTATTATTTGACCCAGGCAGCAGATGTATATGGGGCATCAATGGATTGTAACTAATAACAATAACTAATATCTTTGTATAAAGATAAACAAATTTCTTAAGAAAGTTTACTTGTAGTTGATAAATGTTATTGTTATATTTGCAACACCAATCAAGAACTTTGAGCCAAAAACCAAGGCCCCAAAATTAAAAGAAACTGTTACTAAAATTAAAAAAGCTCCCCAAATTCGGTAAAAAGCCCTCTAAAATTTGAAAAAGAGCCACTAAATTTGCCCCCTCCTTCCTAATTAAGGGAGGAGCGTGGGGAGCCTATCCACGGCTCTGAGTATATCCTTGCTTTTTGGTAGCAGTTTCTTTTAAAAAGTACCAAAAATAGTACTATTTTCTATATATTTAGAGTTTTATTAAAGTTAGTAATTTTATTTTATTCCGTTTTAATCACCTGTTTGTCACAAATTTGTAAACCCTCTCTCACCCCCTGGTTACAAAGTGTCAAATAATCCGAAATACCGCTAGGCCTAAATATGTGAGGTGATTTGCAAACGACCCCTATGTTAGTTTTTAAAGTTTAATTATTTATAAAAACATTTTAATAAAATTTTCTACAATTTTAGTAATAAAATAACTATAAGCAAATTTTAGAATTTAATAGTAATATTTGTACATTGTGTAATGCTTTCAGAATTTCGAAATAACTAAAATATTTCTAAGCAAGTTTTAGAATTTCAAAAGTAAAAAATTTTTTTCGGTAATATTTTCAGAATTTCGATATCACAAAAATATTTCGAAGCAAATTTTACAATTTCCAAAGTAAAAAATTGTTTTGGTAATATTTCCGATTTTCGAAGTCGCAAATATATTGCGAAGCAAATTTTATATTTTCGAAAGTAAAAAATTATTTCGATAATATTTTCAGAACTTCGAAATCGCAAATATATATTTCGAAGCAAATTTTACATTTCCGAAAGTATAAAATTATTTCAAAAATATTTTCAGAATTTCGAAATCGCAAAAATATTTGAAGCAAATTTTACAATTTCGAAAGTAAAAAATTATTTCCGTAATATTTTCAGAATTTCGAAATCGCAAAATTATTTCGAAGCAAATTTTACGAAAATAAAAAATCGTTTCGATGCAAAATTAATTACTTTAAAATTATTTCGAACTTACCGAAACGAAAAAAGAGTTTCGAAAACTTCTTTTTTAATCGAAAATTCAACTTTGGCTCCCGTGAACAACCCCACCTCCCATACTCTCGCAATACAACGTACGACCGCCCGCAATCAAGAAAAAATTCAAAATTGCCAAACTTTTTATTCATTTCTGTCTCGATTTTGGTCTCGCTGCAGTTTTTTTGTTTATTTTTGTAAGATTACGGAGACCATCTACCCAATTTAAACTTTTTATTTTGAATTTTAATGTTTGCGTTTTAAACCTAATTGTTTAAAATTATACTACGTAAATAAATTTAGAATGCATATTCTAAGATAAAGTCCATTTTCATTATGACGTCATTTTCATTATTCAAAGTCATTTTCATTATTATATACTTTTTTTTTCCCATTAAAAAACAATATAAAATACTCATTAGGTCGGGTGAATAAAAATAATTTTTTATTCTCGAAAAGCTGAGGAATTACTAAGTTTAGTTTTACGTTAAGGAATTGCTAAGTTTAGTTTTACGTGAATAAAAAATTTAAGTAAAATTGTTAAAGTTTTTATTCACGTATAGCTGACCAATTACTGAGTTAAAGCAATTGCTTATTTTTATTCACCCATCATAATAAAAAAAGCCAGTTAAAAAATTTTGTAACTACCTGGAGGGAAATGAGCTAGCGACTAGCGAGCGACTAGCGAGCGACTAGCTAGCTTTATAGCAATTTTCAAGCGATTTTTTTTTCAAATTTTTTTTTTCTAATGTTTTTAACATCTTTAAAAATTCGATTTTTAGTGTTTAGCGTACTATAAGTGAACTTTAAATTATGCAATATGTAGCGTGAGTCGCAAGCTACCTATCGTAGCTTTGTAGCCAGCTACAAAATATCTACAAATCTATAACTGGTTGATAGCTATATATCAAACTTTTTTAGACAGGGATTTTATTACGATATGACGCTAGCTACAATAGCCAATGGGTCTTTAGCTCATTAAGCTAGCTGTCTTCGTAGCAAAATTGCTATTTTTATCTTTACAAATATCGAAAGCTGTTCGCTAACTTAAAAAAGCTAGCGATCTTCGTGGCCATATTGCTGTCTTTATCGTTACAATTATAGCTGATATATCGTGTTTTAAAGGTTTGTGTTTCCACAAGAATCATCATACTTAAAAATTAAACATAAACTGCAAACTTTAAAAATAAGAAACACTTAATAATCTACTTAAAACAAACAAATAAGGAAAGTTCGAGAGTTATTTAGAAATTGTATTTTTCATCGTTGTCTAAAAGTTTTTTATGTTTTACTGTAAGTCTTTTTTTGGCGGTTTTTTGATTCTAATCTTAATGAACTACTTAATTAACTCTTACATAACATCTTTCATAATTTCATTTTCAAGTAAATTAGATACTTTAAAAATACTAATAATATCTCAGTAGCTTCATTAAATTGTAGCACAGCAGAATAAACTCTGATTGTGTATGTCCTCTTACTGTGTATGTCCTCTCACTGTGTGTGTCCTCTCACAGTAAGTTACATCTAGCTAAAAACCAACACAGTTTAATTTAGCTCTTTTTATACATAAATTTGTTATTTTAGGTAAAAATTTCTAGACGAAAAAATAATAGTAGATTTACCCGATATCTATATCAGCCTAACTTTCACCAATATTTTAAACGATAGAATGCAAGATATAGTGAGTTATATCCGTTGTATTATATTCATATTCAGAGATGATTCAACAAATAAAATGAGGGGGGAGGGTTGAATCCTCAAAAAGTACCGACTAGCTTCTAAAAAAAAAAAAAATCTTTAAAACTAAAATTTAACCGACTAAATTATGTCAAATAGCCGACACCGACTAAATTCGTAATAAAACCAACTACAACTGAAAATCACCTTCTTGGGGGGAGAGGGGGGGTTTAACAACCCCTAAAATAGCCTCTGTTTATATTGTTTATTAAAATATGAATTTATATTCATAATGGACTAAATTTTCATAGTTCATTCAAAAAAAACCTTCAAAACAACAACCAAGCCCATAAAAACACCTGAACGCGATTTAAAAAACACGATTAAAAGAACAACACCATTTAGCATTATAAATTTGATTTTTTCTCTTAAAACTAACATTTTTTCTTGTTTGTTAAAGCTTATAAGTACATTTAGCGATGTTTTCAAAACCATTTAATTTTGCTTAGCCGAATTATCAAAACCTATGAAACTCTCATCTAGTAACAAGGCCGCCGAGAGTGTCACGCCACCTGGGATAGCAATCGTGATTGGCGCCCTTATTTATCAAATTTTCCCTATATTATATATGAAGGACCTTTTTTTTTTTTTAGGTACCTTTTTTTTTTAGGTACCTTCATTTGCCACCCGTTGAATATCTGCCGCCCGAGACAAACTGTCCCGGTGGCCCCCTCTTCTCGACAGCCCTGTCTAATAAACACAAGTTAAACTTGTTTAATTAAACAAGTCTTGTTTACTTTTTTACGTTTGTTTACACGATAAGGGTTTCCTCATTGGTCTGAATATTAGAAAACAAAATCGGACCGATGAGAAGTTACAATTTCTGGGAAATTTAAAAAGTTGATATATATATATATATATATATATATATATATATATATATATATATATATATATATATATATATATATATATATATATATATATATATATATATTTAGTTGAATTATTTAAATTTAATCAAGAAAAGTTCTATTTAATAACAAACTCTTTAATAAGATAGATCGCTTTGGTATCATTCAAAAGCTCTGATGCTAAATTATAGCAAAAATAAAATATAATTAAAAGCGAAAAATCGTTAAACTGTAAGTAAGTTTACTCAATAGATCCATTGATCCATGGCTTCCATGAAAGCTAATATTAAGTGGTGTACAATAAGGTAGTACCTCAGCCCAGAACTATTCAAAACCTACATAAAAGATCTTCCACTAGCATCATCAACTGAAACTTATTTATTTGCAGATAAAATTACCCTGATAGCTTACTGCATGTGGTCACATCCATCTTTGACTAACATGTTTACAATAAATGAAGATTCAAAGCTTATGGTTAAAAACCCAAAATTAGACAAGGAAATAAAGGCTTCCATGTTATAGGAGCCAAAATATTAAATAAAGTCAACTCCTAATATATCCGCTTTGCTATGTGATGTGCATATACTACTCAAACAGTGGAAGAGGTACATACAAAGCAGTGGTAGAGGATTTACAAATCAGCCATTTAGTCAAGCTCAAAATTGGAAGGTTCCATTCAAAAATTGGTATAATTGTATACATTTTTTTATAGTTTAATGAGATATTTTGTATTTGAAAGTCAAATTTAATATATTTTGGTTAAACTTTTGTTTCTTGAACAAATATTTTGAATACTAAAATATTAATTAATAAAAGCAATGTGTTATATTGTTGCTCAGAAGTTTCAAATAAACGTCCCACCTGTTAATTTTGTACCAAAAGTTCATAACTCTTTTTAGAAACCCCTTGGACCTTAATACTATTTCAGAGTAAAAGAGAATAGAGCTCTATGATGTTTTTGTGTCATAACTATTTTTTTGACATATTTTTTTTTAGCAAGTTATAGATAAGACCATAATAATCCATACATACAGAATTAAATTTATTTATTACCAAAAGTACAGGCCCATAGCAACCGGGTGGGCAGCAGGGACATTTGCCCCCCCAATAATTTTTTATATAAATAATTTTGAAGAAATTGACTTAAAAAGTGACTAAAAAAAAAAAAATAAATAAATAATAAAACTCTTTTGGAGTAGTATTGTTCCCACCCATATAATTTTTGTTTCTACAGCCCTGAAGTAAAATTTAAAATGAAACTTGTGAGACTATTTTTAAGTAAAATTAGAAATTTGTACCAAGGTACCCCACTTATTGGGTACTTTGGTACAACCTATAAGCACCATTAAAAAGTAAATAAATAATATAAAACTTAGAGAAAAGGTGAATTACAAATTAAAAATTTAAATTTAAATCAAATTTCAGAAAAGAAGTTAATATATCATTTGAAATGCCATTCTTAAGTGTCAATATATAATGGTTTAGAAAAGTGTTAATAATTAACTTAGAGAAAAGGTGGATTTTTACTTTAAAGAAAAACAATTAAAAATTTACAATTATTAATTGAAATTCTATTCACATTTCAGAAAGGCTCATAATATATCATTTTAAATTCTTAATTGTCAATAAATAATGGCTTTGTATTGAAATCGTATTCTAGTATTATATTTACATAAATGTCTTAGAAAATGACTGCAAATATTAAAAGAAACAATTTTCAAAATTGTTTATGATAAAATAAAATACTCAGTTTTAAAGTTCTATTTATTATGAAAGTAATAATGAAACCCCACTCAAAAAAAAATATAATTTAATTAACATGTAAATGGATATTTACTGGATAACTTATTTTATTTATATTTTAGTCATAAAGATTTTTTAGCGTTTTAAAAAAAAAACAGACACATACATTTTAATTTACAAATTTACACTTAAATGTTAAATTTTAGTCTAGTTTAAAGGGTGAAGAAAAAAAAAAGTCATTTTATTAAAAAGTTTAGAGAGTGCTAAATAAAGAACACTTTAGCACTTTTGCAAAAATGTTTTTTGAAAACTAGCTATAACACTATAAGAAAGATTAAATAAGAAATGATTTAAGCCAATGTAAATTAAATAATAAAAAAGTATTTTAAAAGTTATTAAATTAAACAAAATCAAAGTTTTGTCTAATTGACAATTTTTTAAAAATGTCAGGAAGAGTGCCATTTTAAAGTTATAAGGAAAAAGGTTTTTGCAAAAATATATTTATAGCAAGATCATGAAGTGTGGAATGTTAGACATGCTTGTGTTGGCGCTTTAAAGAGTTTTCAAAATTCTCTAGAGCCTTCTTGAATGAAATACAAAATAATAAAGTATTTCTGAAATGAAATATTAGATTTAATAATTTAAAAGCATACTTCATTTAGTAACTTAAGATTAATGGATCTTGTTATACAATATATTTTTGAATTGGTGTAATTATGAAAAAATGTTATTTTGAAAAAATGATTTTTTTTCAAAAAAATGTTTGTTCTCAGGATCTGTTTTTGATTTTTCACCAAAAAAAAGTGAAAGAAATTATTTGAAATGAAAATAACAATAGTATCCTGTACTATTGTGACCATGTGGTAAAGTTAATACTCTGTATATGACACTTTTTTATAAATTGCGAAAAAAATTGGTTAAAATAATCAAGTTGTAGTTGATTTATGTACTTTTTAGTAGATATATGTAAATTTTTTTCTACTAGGTAATATGTTTATTTTTAGAAAGTTCTTGGTTTAAATTCTGATGATTGTAAGTGTACTTTATCAATTTATTCATTCTTTTTTTTTTATACTATAAGTGTCAAAGTTTTTTTGTATCTTTTTTTATGTTTGTTTTCAGATACCATTAAAAGTTTTACTAACTTTTACAAGCTTGTTGATAATAAAATTTTACCCCAATATGAAGACTTTGAAGGTGTAACAGAGCTATCTACTTGTATAACAATGTGTGGATGCAAGGGAAGTAGTTTGGCTGCTTTTGAAAATGAGACAAAAAGTTGTTTTTGTGGTGAAGGCACAATTAAAAAATGTGATAGTGATTATTGCATTTCAGTATGCCATTATTGTTTTTTTTTTCATGTTGTAGTTTTATTTTTCTTATTGCGGTTTCATTCAAATAGTTAATTATATTTAACTTTATTGCTATGAAATCTTTTTTAAACAATTTTTTTTTTCATTTTTGTTTAAGGTTTATGATTCCTCTGGTTATAATGTTTCATTTTCCAAAAGACCTCCCTCAAAAGTAAAAATAAATACACCATTTGAAACTACTGTTTCTTCTTTAAGTAATATGAAAGTGATTGGTTTACTAGTAAATAATAGGCTTGCAATGTATTCATCTAATTTGTTGTCTCTTTTAATTGGGATGCCTGGAAACTACTCAATGATTGTTGAAGCAAGTGGTAAATAATAATATTTATAATATATAATAGTGTTGTTGTATATCATTCATTATTAATAATAAATGAAATAAAATTTAAATATTTTAATTCATAATGGTTTATTTAGTTTGTGTGTGTGTGTGTGTGTGTGTGTGTGTGTGTGTGTGTGTGTGTGTGATATTTTGACTCATAGTTGGAAAAGTATCATACTGTATAATAAATAGATATGTCTGTATATTTATATATTAATCATAATGTATTTATTTTTGTTTTTTTATACAGCTTTTTATGGATGTCCAAATGATATCCATAAAATAACAGCTGAAGTTGGAGAAACTGTTTGTTATTTTACTTTACCAGCTCAGATCAAATCTGAAAATACAACATTTATAATATCTTTTCATCTTACTGGCCCAGATACATTGAAAAAAGTTAGAATTAAATCAATTGAAGGAATTACAGAGGAGTTCACAGAATTTTTAAATCCAACAGGTTTTTATATTTATGCATTATAATTGAATAGAGGATTAAATCCCTCTCCCTATAAAAAATGTCAACATGTGAATACCCTTCCCAAATAAAATTAAAATTGGAAAAAAACATTATTATTTTTTTTTTTTAAATAATAAAATTTATTTAAAAAAGTATCATTGTTGACATTACCTTTTCTTAACCTCCCCTCTCCCCTTTGTCAAAAATTCTCCTCTCCCTAAAAAATTTTCATACCCCCTCTTCCTATTTTGTTGATGTAATCAATGGACAGCCCATGATAAAGTAATAAGCATATTATGTTAATATTCAACAATTTTTCAATTCTTTATATACTTGACTGCATATTTAAAAAAGTATGCATCAAAGGACTAGACCTGGAAAAGGACTAGAAAATTAGGAAGAGAGAGAGGATAAAAAAAAGTTCAAAAGATATATTGAACAGATATTCAGAACAAAATAAAGACACAAAATAAAGAACAAAATAATATTAGAATATAAGTACTGCACGTACATTAGAAATGATAAACTCAGACACTTAAGTTAAAATCATGACCCATGTGTACACTCTAAAAAAAACTGAATAAAAAATACCAAAAAAAACACATGCTTGCAGCAGGAGTTGAACTATGAACTGACAGTTTATCAGGTCCGTGCTCTATGCAATTATGCTATATATGTTCATAAGTTGAAATATATATATCGTCACATTGGTTTGACAAGGTTCTAACTGATCCATGAATAGTTTTGAGTAATTTGATGTCAAAAATTGTTATGTACCTACCATAAAAAACTTATTAGTATCAATTGATAATATTTTTCACCCATGATAACATAAAAATTTGGCTTTAGTATCACTGTTTGTAACTAAAAAATGTTTCAATCTTTATTGAAAAATAAATACCCCCAAAAAGCAGTTAAAACCTTGTCATAGTGAAATAGTCATATCTTCACTATGACAAGGTTCTAACTACAGTTATAACGGTAGTTAGAAACATTTTAGCTACTTTAAAATTTTGTGATTGAAGTAGTTAACTACTTTTAAATTTTCTAACTGAAACAATAGTATAATAAATGGTAATTACCATATCTAACTATCATATTCTTCTGTTCAATTCCATTCACATAACTTAATCTACTTTTATAATTGATAAAAAATATATTATAGAATAAAAGCTTAAAAGCTTTTCATTGTCATTTTATAAGTGAAGAACCACTGGTTAGTCTTCTTGGTCCTGGAGATGTACAAAAGAAAATACAGCCTTAAAATTTGAATGTTTAAATTTTTGATTTAACAAAACTCCAGAAGATGGACTAGTGCCAGCATTTTTTTTTGTTTTTTTTTATTAAATTTGACATTAGCATAAATCATAGGTTTATTTCAATCATGGATATATAATTTTAGTATAGCAATATTAAAAGGAACTAACTTGTAATTAAATAGCTTTGCTGTTAAACAATATTCCTTGAAGTCATGTGGATTTGTTTGATTAACATATTAATAATGATAAGGATTTTTTTCTGTTAACTTGTTTAAAGGTCTTTATCAATCCAAGTGGACTATAAAAATAAGCTATTCTTTTTAGCTTTTCAATTTAATTATGCGCATGATCTACTTTCTGGACACATAAATGACTAGGAAGTAATTATTTTGTAATGACATAAATGTTTGTAGTAACATATATGTCTAGGAAGTAAGTATTTTGTAATATAACACACTATTTGATATTACACTGTTCTGATTTTGAGAGGGCGCAGTGATTAGACCAAGTAACTAAAATGCTCATGATGCTTTACCTCTGCCACAACATCCAATATCTTGCAAAAGGCACTAGAAAAATGCTTGTCGGTATTGCCTACCATTGATTCAGCCCATAATGCTCGTATTGTTGTTTGGTTGTTGTATAATATCCTACCAAATTAATCACACTTTACTTTCACTCATAAAAAGTAGTTTTATTTCCAACATTACTAACTTGATTTACTTTAAAAAATATTTTTAAAATCTTTTTATTTATAACACAGCCTGCTTTTTAACATTGATAATAAACATTTTATTGAAAATTGTTTGATTTTTTTAAATATTACTAATGTATATGATGTAGTAAATTAAAATTATATTATTTTGTTCATCAACTATATTTAAAGTTATACATTCATTAACTGACTGTTAGAGATGAGCAATGGGTAATGGATGACTAACTGTTTGAGGCTCGACAGTTAAACAACCTTACAATGACTGACAGTTAAGGATATGCGTTGCAAAATGCATTGCAAAATCGACATCTGTTAAGGGTACATCGACAAATGTTAAGTTTGTGAGAAGAGTGAATTGTTATTATAAAATTTTAAAAAAGAGTTTTACCTTATAAAACCCATTTATTTTTGTTTTAATTAGTTATTTCAACTCTGATAGAAACCAGTGTTTTTTGTTATGCAATATAATATTATAAAAAAGATTTATAAAAAATAGCAAATATTAGCATTTTTGCAATATACTTTTTTTTTTTACATCAACATCAAACTAGAACACTATACGTTAACATTGAGACCAATTTTTTCATATAGTTTTTGATGAGAATGAACTTCTCTATCATAATATATTTAAATGAAAAAAATTTGGAATGGTCTGCAGTTATGGTTTACCCTAACCTGTTAGTTGGAGCCTTGTCAAACTAAATATTAGTTAATTAAACCTGCAGATAGAACTTTGGCACATTGGTAGTTTGCTTATTTTACTCTAGATCGCAGTAAATTTTTGTTTATTTTGTTTGCCATGATACAAATAGTCCATTATTATCATATTCTCAATTTTGGAAAAAATGTCAGTTAGAACTTTGTCAAACCATCGCAATATATATATATATATTACATCGCATATATATATATATATATATATATATATATATATATATATATATATATATATATATATATATATATATATATATATGTATATATATATATATATATATATTACATCGCATTATATATATATATATATATTATATATATATATATATATATATATATATATATATATATATATATATATATATATATGTATATATATATATATATATATATTACATCGCATTATATATATATATATATATATATATATATATATATATATATATATCTATATATATATATATATATATATATATATATATATATATATATATATATATATATATATATATATATATATATATATATATATATATATATATATATATATATTACATCGCAGAATACATCGCATATATATATATATATATATATATATGTATATATATATATATATATATATATATATATATATATATATATATATATATATATATATATATATATATAAATATGACAAAATAAAATAATTCAAAAAAACGAAATTGTTAACTAATAAAAATATAAATTAAAAAAATGAAATAATAAAGTTGAAATAAAGCAAAACAAAGACAAGTTACCTGAATATAATAATTTTTTCACTGAGTTTAATGATTTTCCCTGACCATGCAAGCTACTACATAGCATCTGATAAACATCTGCAGAGTATATTTGGTCAGTAAATCAATGGTCTGTTCATTAAGGGTGAGCATAACAGGATATCCTGATAAAAACTCTTTACTATTTTAGAATTTCTTCCTGAGCTGTTTGTAGTTCTTTACAAATTCTGGGTTAAACAGATATTGGTTATTGGGCAACATAATATTGCCTTCAAGTTCTTTCATTACTAAACAAAGGACTTGGTCGAGAATATGATGTTGACAACCAATGAGTTTTGGTTCTTCTAGTTTCTTTACAGTAAAATATCTTTGTAACTGACTGACCATTCCTTCTTCATTCATAGTGTCTGCTACAATCATCTTTATACTCTTCCATAAATTGTATTCATTGAGAATAGCTGTAATACCTTTACTAGCAGTATCTTCTTTTTTGTCTCTCTTGATTCTTCAACACTAACACTTGGTATTCTTGGTGTTTACCATCAAAGTGCAGTGAATAGCTTTCTAAATATAGCATTTCCTTCATTTCTTCTTTGACAGCTTCTTTATTAGTTTATCTGAATATACCAGACTGTAAAGCTGTTTGAATAATGATCTCATCTTGAAAAAACTGTTATAAAATTATTGCTGCTTTGCTGGTTGTTACTTTGAAGATGTCACTAAATTAGTTGCAGTGTTGGTTTTGCTGTAGTTCTTGTTGGTACTTGTGAACTGTTCTGGTAAATCTACAAAATCTTGATATTCTGCCTTGGATTTGAATCTGGAAGTTAATGTTTTTTTTTTAAACATCTTCACTTCCAACAAGGCTACAAGCAACCACTACTAAAGTTGGAAGTTACTGGAAGAGAAAAGATCTTTATTGATGAAACACGGTGTTGAATAAAAAAAAATTTTGCTAAGTGATTTTCTATTACTTTCTATATATATATATATATATATATATATATATATATATATATATATATATATATATATATATATATATATATATATATATATATATATATATATATATATATATATATATATATATATATATATAATATGTTCAAAATCTAAATAAATTTTTTTTTGCATTTTTGATTTAATTTGATCAAATTTTAGTTCAAAATTTTAGTAAAAATTTTGAACTAAAATTTGACCCTGAAAAAAAGAATACAAAAAAACGGAATAAAATTAGAAATGCAATTTAGTTCAAACCCCCCCCTCCCCCCCATATAGCAAAAATGTTTCCACTAACATAGGAAAAGTGTTTTTAAAATTGGTCGATAAGCATTTCCCTCCCTCTAATAAATTACATAAAATTTTTAATCGAAATACAATTAAAGTTAGCTACAGTTGCACAAAATATATGGAAAGAATTATAAAAAGTCACAATAATGCTTTGTTAAATAAAAAAGAAATCCTATATGAAAAAACTACAGAAAATTGTAATTGTTAACTAAAAGATAAAAATATTGATGATTTTATACTGAATTGGTCCATCCTAAG